GATTGTCGAACACCTGAAGACGTCTCAGTTCCGCTGCTCGAATAGGCCAAGTCTCACAGCCATACAACAAGACAGCCCGTACTGTATCTTGATACACACGTCACTTCAGATTCAGGAATAAACCATTCTGACGCCATAGGTGTCTCAAGTTAGCGAACGCGGCCCGAGCCTTCTAGATTTGTGCATTCACCTCATCTGTCGCCAGTTAAATGGCGAACGCTTTGTCCATATTTTTGGCTATTAACGTAGTATAACTAGTATAACTAGTGTCAATAAGAATCACTCATTACCCGTTGGGTGATTACTTGTGATTCACATCAGTTGTCTGACCTGGAAGTTCTCAAGTGTTAAGTTTTGGCCTTGACATCCAAACTATTTTCTTTAAAAGAGAAACTGAATATTTATACATTATATATATACATATTTATATATTCATATAAACACATAAATGATATACACATAACTGTATGAATATATAGGAATATATTTATATTATTGTATTTCAACTAACCTATTCTAAATGGTTTGGATCTAAAGTACTTCAGAAAAGCTTGTGGTATGTTTGTGCTGAAAGTGGAACCAAAGATGACCCCGGTTTCACCACACTGTCTCTTGGAGTCTGTTTTTCACCAGTGCAATAAGTGTGGCAAAAATTCCTGCACCAAGGCACGCCTATTATAGCTTCAGTAAGATAGAACAAAAAGCCCAAAGGATGTGTAATTATACCTTGCTGCAATAAGCAATAAGCAATACTAAAAAGCCAGATAATACGCTTTGTCGATTTTTTTCACATCACATTTAGCTTTTGGCTTAAAACGTTCCTGCCTAAATATATTGCTGCAAAAACCCAAAAGTCACCACTGTTACTCTTAATTATTTTGGCACATCCTTCCTAAGCAAACTCAGTCAATCCTTATAAAACTTCCAGGGATTGCTACAGCTCACTGCACGATGACTTTGTGAAGCTGAGACAAGATAAGTTCGGTTTGCACATTGCGAAACAGACGAAGTAACATTTCTTTACTTGATGTATTTAAATGCTACCAGACATGTACTTTTGTTGTTGACCCAAAAGGCTGCAAATTTCAATTTTCCAATTTTGTGCCCCAATAAAGTTGCGAATGAAAAGCGTTTTTTCATCAGCCACAGACATCTTCCATCTGTGTTAAATATAGCCTTGCTCACGTACTTAAAAGCGTGTCTTGTATGTGATACGTCAAAGTACTGTTCAAGACGTTTCTGACCTATCGCCAGATTAGTATTCAGTCAGTCTACAAAATACAATAAAATGGCTGCAGACGTGGTGCAACGTTATCTCATTCATTTTTGAAAACTCTGCTGCACTGGTCATTGCTGTCTTCCTGGATGGGAACCCCGAGACTGGCCAGATCAATTATTAGAGACACTGTCAGACGTGGTCACTTCGCGCCCTCAATCGCGCTAGTGCACCCAAGCTATTGCGTTCAATGCAAAGCCCCCTGCTCAAATCCACCACTTAACAGTCCACTGACACTGCTGTATGTACAAAACAATTTATTAGCTTCCGACTCCAATGCGCAGTAACCTACCCCACCTCCCTAAATAATCTGTAGACAAAACTGCCGCAGTTAAAACCACTGTACGACAAGTACGCGGATTTTACGGCTGACGATGATGATGCTGGCGCATGTAGGCTCGTAAAAATATTTCACTGGCATTATTAAACGGTTAAAATGCCTCCTAAACGCCTTGAAGCTTTTTAACCGTTGCATTAGACCACTTGTCTTCTGTGCCTAATAGTTGGTGTCATGTTGCGCGCCTATCGAGAGACGCTGATGTTGTGTATTTCATGCGCTGGTTTTATAGTCCTTCCAAATGGATTTTTATGCTTTGCTGACGGCTTTATGATACCAGCTAATACTTTTGACATGTTTAGATTTGTAATTTTTAAGGCAAAATTTTAGCTTGATTTACGGTCCGGTGGCTGCGAATGTGCCGAAGCGCTATCAGTAGCGAAGAATCGCGAAAGGTTTTCCCACACGAATTCACTTAATCAGCTCCAATGAGCAGCGTTCCGTGAGTCACGGCGAAGCATCCACCGAGAGTATGGCAGTTTGGTTTTTCTGAAACGCCAAAAAACGTTCTAATCTATTCACTTCAGCTTTGATCGCAGACCTATCTTTCTCCAAGCGCAGCTGCCAAAATTTGCAGACCTACGTTCGGCAAACCATCCAGAAGATCAAAGCTAAAGTAGGGAAGTAAGCTGAAGGGGATTCTTCATCAAACCGCTTGAAATTACCCGGCTTATCAGAAGTTACTTGCACACTCATACATATACTTCCTTGCTGTGTGTGAGATTGTGAATGGACTAAATAAAAAATTTCTCAATTGTTTTCCAGATGCCACTGAGGCAAAATACAACTATGTTTTAAGCAATGAGGGAACAGTTAAAACTTTCCCTTAGCCCAAAAACTACTCATTATAGGTCTGAAACCTATTACAACTTTGATAAACTTGCAAGCATGCCAAACACCAAAAAGTGTCATAATTGTATGCCACCAGTTGGTCCCCATGGTAATTCCCATAAAGAGGGTTTCAAGTTAGTAACCAGCCAAGGCAACTCGAATGCCTCCACTTACCCCTTGGGTATACGCGTTGAGTTCGGTTTGAAAGATACTCCGGGGCATTCAGGCCGGAGCTTGTATTGCTGCATATCAATGTCCATAGCCTCATTTTTATGTTGCAGATCCATAATTAATTGGTTTCTCGATTCTTTTAATAGTAACATTTGTTCAAACGACTCGTCAACCTTCTGCTGTAGAGCCCTAGTTGAATTCGCAATCAACTCTTGCTCCTGGTAATAGTACGGTTCTTTAAGTAATCAAAAACCACTTGGTTACCTTCTTTAGTTGCACCTCTGCTCCATCCTCTACAAAGTCTATCTTCTTCCGTTTATCACGAAGAGTGAGGCATTCTGTGACACAGTCTCTTGGCGTTTGTATGTTGCGCATTTGTTCTTCTAAGGCATCTTTTCCCATTTGAATCATCGTTAATTCTTCATCAACCTGGGCTTTAGCCAGGTCCAGTATATCCCTTAAATCCCTGATGGCGTCTGTTCTGTCCGCCAATCGTGTTGTATTGTTGTACTCATCCCATTTAGTTCGCAGTGCAGCAGCCAATCGTGTTGACCGGGTTTCCTGTCTGACCTGATGGGAAGCGTCTCGCTGCCTTTGTGAATTTGCGCTAATCGCGAAGGCGTTTGTGAACCAATCCGGAGGTTGATATTTTAGTGCAGGCTTATTTTGTGAGGCCATATTTCAAAAGCGTGCCAAATTCAAAGCGGTGCTGCGGCGTAACCATGACATCAAGACCATTGTAAGTGTGCAGTCCAGAAAAGATTGCAGTCGCAGCACATAATGAGGATGGGGGTAACGAGGTTTCCGATAAAAGTTGCACCGCTACCTATGCAGATTATATGAATGGCAATGATTAGGATTAAGGAATTTTCCCGAAAGTGTTTGATGAGATGTACACGGTAACCGTGTATTTGATATAAAAGCCGAACGATTCAGGCTAGTTCGGGGGTTGAAAAGATTTTTGCTTGTCAGCTGGAACGCTGCACTCTAATACCCGTCCGAAAATACTCCAGCGTATTCTGTCGCCCACCACAGAATGGATGGTTTTAGACACCCCACTGGCGGGCTACCAGGAGCCTGCCTATGGGCTAAAGGAACAATGCACCAGGCTATCACAGGGACAAGGGCTGCCGTTGGAAGGATTTAAACGAAACGCGGTTGCACCGATCGTTTAACAAACCTGCACGGGCTCCACGATTGAGCGTAACGCAGCAACGTGTTCTTGCAAAATTATGACTGCCACTGCCGGGAAGGGCAATCAAGGTTAACAGCTATTGGGCAAAAACGGCAAACGAGAAGGGATCAACAAAGGGTAACACCTAAGTGAAAAGTTGCTCTTCAGGGTCAGAACACTTTCCTAAGGAAGGCTACGCAAAGTTGCTCTTCAGGGTCAGAACACTTTCCTGAGGTTGGCTATGCATCCATCCTTCTGTGTTTTCTACGTGTATCCCGACATCCATCCGATTTCAACGGTGCGTTATCTACTCATCTGTGTCCCCTGTATGACCAATAATTGTCCTGCGCTACTCAGGGGCACAGAGCCCAAGAAGCCTCCTCCTGTTAAGTCTTTCATGTCAGCAGCCAATTCGGCGGTCATTTTTCGCAGTGCATCTAGCGGCGTTGCGCCCTTTTTCGAAAATGGGGCTAAAGGTCAGTCAATTCGGCGGTCATTTTTCGCAGTGCATCTTGCGGCGTTTCGCCCTTTTTCAAAAATGGGGCCAAAGACCAGCCATAGCATTCTAAGTGGGGACTGATGAAATACTCAACGGGATACCTATGTGTATACACTATGGGATGAAAAGAAACCTTTCGGACTCTATGAGCAGCGGCTGCACAAAGTGCGCTTGGTTTTCACTGTCCGGTCAACGGCAGTCCATTAATTACGACCCATTTCTCCTATCTACTCGGGTGTAGCCCCATAGTTTATCGCTCATCTACATGAGAAGCAGTGTGTGTGCATGTTTGTGAGCTCGATGTCGCGTCACAGTCTTTAGACCGTTCCTTTATAGCGAGAAGATGCATGCAAATGTGTGAACCATCGGAGATTAAAGCTCTTATCCAAAAGTCAACCAGAAACCAAAAAAGCTTCATCTATCCATAATGCACACAATGAAAAGCAGGGGGTCTAATACAAGACTTTACGGGGAGGGGCGGTTCCAGCTCACGCTCTGTAACCTCAAGAGTGGTGCCTACATTTATGAAAATCGCTCATCCACCATACACTTGCTGAGCAGGAGGATTTCGGTTGAGCTAGCAGGTAACGATGAAAATAATCACTGCCTGCCTGCTGGGATTCAAGAGAGCCCGTATCAATCCGTTCTGTCATGTACAATGAACTTGTTGCACCGTAAAGTGCAAAAGTCAATTTGTACGAACGAGGTCATTTTAAAAAACCAGGGTGCATTAAGTTCATAAGGTCATCACTCATTCTTGATGTATTTTTCGTGGGAAATATGCTCCGTCATTTTTACGTTGCCTATCAGGCTAGCCGGGCGGCGGTTGGCTTCTCCCTAAGAAGCCTCACGCTCTGTAACCTCAAGAGTGGTGCCTACATTTATGAAAATCGCTCATCCACCATACACTTGCTGAGCAGGAGGATTTCGGTTGAGCTAGCAGGTAACGATGAAAAATTATAATCACTGCCTGCTGGGATTCAAGAGAGCCCGTATCAATCCGTTCTGTCATGTACAATGAACTTGTTGCACCGTAAAGTGCAAAAGTCAATTTGTACGAACGAGGTCATTTTAAAAAACCAGGGTGCATTAAGTTCATAAGGTCATCACTCAGTCTTGACGTATCTTTCGTGGGAAATACGCTCCGTCATTTTTTACGTTGCCTATCAGACTAGCCGGGCGGCGGTTGGTTTCTCCCTAAGAAGCACCACCCTAAAGGACATGGATAACATTATCTACCCGATGTTTTCTGGACAAAGTCCCTTTCTCCATGAGCTGCCTGAACAATCGACAACATCTCTCAACCCCTCCAGCAACTGCCGGTGCGGTTCTTCATACCCTGGTGAGTTGCGAAGAAATAGCGGTGAGTTCATTCCTGGCTTTGACGACGTTTAGTTTTTCAAGCCCCCATCCACCTAGTGTCTGTGTTATCCTGCAAACCGAAGGGTGCTAATGCAGAGTGCCTTCAGTGACGACGTGGCCGAGATCGTGGGTTCTTGTCTGCAAAGAGAGAGTTAAAAGTTCCGCACTCGTGACATGGCCTGCTGTAAACGGCGAAGACGCCTCATGATCTGAGAAATGGCGGGTCTGGCAGAGAGGGTTGTTTTGTTAATAGAAGGAAAAAAGGTGGAGAATTCGCAGCATATATTTAGTGGTAGGCGATATCGGCAACAAATAAGGGGAGATCAGGCCTTAAGATTGGCGGAATGGAGGAAGCCGTCGATTTATTTGTCGTAGTTTAAAAGTGAGTACGAGAAAGTCGACGTAATCATAGGTTTTAATTTTTAGGCCAGAAAACTTATGTGCTACCAGCATCACTGACGAGTAGAATATCGGGCGTACGGTTGTCCGAATTTTTTATGTTACAGAGTGGCCCTAAACCAGCTACTTCAATCAGTAATTAACATTGTTGGTCCACGATGATGGCCCTCGATTTGTGCGTTGAGCTGGGACACTTTTTTGCAAACGTTTCACTACCGATCAATTAAAATTTGTTCGCGCTTCGAGCCTGGAAGTGCGAGTTTGTTGAGCTTGCATAGATTGACGTAGAGTCCACCCACCCAGACCAGCGTTGATCGATCAAAAATATTTTAAATAAGCATTTCTATTAGTTGGTGTGCAGACAGACCTCATTCATTATTTGTGGGAAACGGACAGCCTATTTGTTGGACCTTTTTAGTTCTTTGTCGTAGACTTTGTTTAGTTGCCTCCATAGTGAACCCCGGTCCTTTGTCTGTCGCTCTAGTGTCCGTGAGTGAATCAGATCTACCAGTGAGCTGGCGATCCCTCGCTCATAGTGTTTCTCAGACGAGGTTGATTTTGATATGCCGTTTGGTTGAATTAACTTCGGTGCTTTATGCTTTGACGAATTCCTCCTGGTTTCTTGTAATTCCACGAGCTGAGACTTTTACGTCTATTTTAAATTAAACTTTTCTTCGTGATTTTCAGATATTCAGATAAAATATGTTTGATCGTGCCCTCTGATAGTTTTATCGTGTTTTGTGAACCACACAGGAGGATTTCTTCCGGTCTATTTGATGCATTATTTGTTGCAGTCCACGCGGTCGACTCGATGCACGACCCTCTTTCTTCGCCATACTTTGTTCTCTCCCTCGGTCGAAAAAATCAGTCAGTTTGAAAAAGTGACTGGTTTGTGAACCACTTGGATTCTTTTTGATAGCTTTTCTTGACTTTCGATATGCTCTTGACTAACGGAAGGACTATCCGTTGATTTTGTTTATCCTGGTATCTCTGTTGTTCGCGGAGGTCGTTTGTGCCAACCTTCCTCTTGCAACGCTCCAGGGTTGTCCGTCATTTTGAAATATATTGTAGAGATGATTCTGTGAAAAATTTCTACTGCACTGCATTGTGTGGAGCTGTAGAGTGCTTGAACACCAAGTTACATGTGGTTCATATAGTGGTTGGTGTTGTAGGTTCGAATTTGGCTGGTGTGTTTTCCCTCGATAACAACTGTTTAAATAGTTCCTTACGTGTTTTCCCTACCGTTATATCCACAAATGTCATTCGGTTGATTCTTTTAATTCCCAGTAAAAAAAGAAGGCCCGGTGAGCATTTCATACGCGTGTTTGACAGCAACCTGTTTTACACACACACACAGAGGTGTCATTCCTGTGAAGCCTCCCGAGCCTAGATTTAATTATTGGTATCAAAACGTTCTGCATTATTGCTCAAGCAATAGACATTCGAGCTTTTCAGCCGTCGATAAGCTTACCCCATATTTGAAGCAAGTATCACAACGCACCGAAGGACATGCAAGTTCTCACTAGGTTCATTTTTCTTGAATTTCATTTGACGTCAAGTTGGAAAGGTCGTGTTCAATTTATATAACCGGAGCAATGATGTCCAACGAGGGCACAATTTCGTCGTGAAAAATCCTGGCGTTGCAAAGTCCGTTCTGTGACTGTCCACTACCGTATATCAAGGGTTACGGGTCAACAATCAGATGCTTCATTCTCCTTTACAAATATTTTCGTACATTATGCACTAGAGTTTCTGAGAATGCGACAAAAATAACAGAGGACTGGTTAACTCGATTATCAGTTGTGGCTATCCGGGTATGGTTTTGATCTGAACGACCAGCTTAAAAGTGTCTTTGTGCACGACGGGTCGAATGTGTCCGGGCAACTTGGCTAACGTCTGGCTTTCTTGTTAAAGCCAGGCTTGTCCAAAACCACTGTACCACGTTCTTTTTAATCATATTTTACCCTTCTTTAAAGCCGTCGTTTCCTGCGTCATCGTTATATATTCGGTATGCACACAAAATCCCTCATAAACTTGTGAACCTTGACATGTCGAGCCAAATTTGACAAACTTTTCACGCGCGCTTTCGACCGCTCACGCTACTGCATACTGTGCGCGGGCCGCTGGTTATTTGCACACCCGAACTAGTTTCGCCGGAACCAGAGGGCTCTCAAAGTTGCACCTTTAATAGGGGAGTTAGTCTAATCAATTTTCACCTACCGGTGGCATGTTGCACGTAGCATT